TTTCTCTGCATTAAGGGCAACAAATGCTAGCTAGTTTTTTAGGTGTCTTACCTATCCTCACCCCTTCCTTGTGTGCTCTTGCTTTTATCATGTGCTCACTCATAGTCCAATCCCCTTGTTGTGTTTGCCCTTGATCTAATGAGACATTAGCTTCTTAGAAAAGGACAATTTTGTATCTAAATCTTAAGTGTTTTTTCAGGAAACAGGTGTAACAGCTGATTTATAAACCTGCCCACAGATCATTTTTGAATACCTAATTGTATCTTCTAAGAATAAAGTTAATAGATGAAATCTTTCTTCCCTTAAAAGCTGCCTGTTAGATCAACTGGAGTGAAAAAGGCTTATGTAATTCCTTTGACTTCCTTGTTGGAAATAAGTGAACAAAAATTATGTGACTGAGTAGGTGGTGGGTGGGATAAGACATCAATCCCCTCAGTAAGTTGTTAAGCATTTCGGAGTTACTTCCTCAGAACACCAGCGCACAGGCAGCTCACATCCCTGTGCAATTGGGATGAAAAACCTTTCCCATACTTTGCTTTCTATTATTTTACTTCACACCTACCTGTGAAATCATTATTATTTATCCTATGACCACAAAAGAAGAAACTAGGCTCTGAGAAACTAATTACCTTTCCAGAGTACTCAGCAGTAGATGTTTCCAGAACTTCAAACCCAGGTTCAGAGAACCAGCTAGGAAACTTCCCCAGTGGATTGTTGGCTACACATCAGTCCCTTGAGTCCAGTGTCCACACCTGGGCAGGATAATCACAAATCACTGCTGCTTCTAATGATGATGTAGCAAAGCTGTCAGAGTATTTGAGAGCGGTGATAGTGTAGGAAGGCAACACAGTGGACCTTGGCCAGGTACTGTAGTTCAGTTCCACACTGCATCGTCCTGGCCATGTGGCTTTGAGTAGGTAGCTGTGAGGTTCTAGGTCCCTGCTGTCTGCCCTCTGCACTGCTGACCACCCATGTACTAACTTCCATCCAGAACACAGTTGTGGATGAGCCAGACACATCCCTACCCACCACACTCTCACCATTCTTCCTGTTTGCTTTCACTTTTGCAACAACTCCCAGACTTTCATAAATCACAACATTCTAGAATTAAATAGAACCTCCTGAACCTAGCCCAGCCTTCCATCCTAGGACTGGGTCCCTCCTGTGGTGCTCCTGCCTGGTGGCCATTCAGCCTCTACAAGGTCCCTTCACCTTGGGAGGGTATGGGTGGGGAAGGGTATAAATGACAGAAAACCCTTTAGTCATCGAACCACTTCTGCCTCCCTGTGGCTTCTCCTTGGTCTTCTTATGCCTTGGGTGTCATAAAGTACACTGGCTTTCTCTGCCATGGGGAGAGCCCTTTCCCTGCTGGAACAACTGCCTTTGTCTGAATGTGGGTTTCTCTTCACAGAGCATGCATCAGCAGCACCAGCTCCAGCACCAGCAGTTCCAGAAGGAATTGAAAAAAATCCAGCTCTTGCAGCAGCAGCAGCTGCCCTTCCACCCACATGGAGATACAGCCCAGGATGCCGATTTACTAGACACATCTGGCCCCTACTCAGAGAGCTCAGGCACCAGCAGCCCTAGCCCATCACCCAGAGCCTCCAACCACTCACTCCACTCCAGCAGCTCTGCCTCCAAGGCTGGTTCCAGCCCCTCCCTAGAGCAAGACGATGAGGGTAAAGCCAGTTGCCATTTTATCTTTTGTTTGAACATCACCTGAGAACCACAGAGTCTCCATGTCTTTCTTAAGAGTCTCCATGAAATAATAAAGTACCTTTCCCAAGGGCCCACCCTGTTCTTCTCTGACTTCCTCACACTCTGTGAGCCCCATGTCATGGCATCTCCCTTCAGAGGGCCTTCCCAGAGTCACCTTGGCCTCCCTCCGTCTTTCCCCACAGAGCTGGGAACCCCTTTTGACAGAGAGATGTTTCCCATCTGGCTTCAGAGGATTCCCGAGGCCAGTGGTGGCAACGTAGAAAAGTGCAGCGGGACCCAGTTCCCTCTTGGGAAATTCTACTGGGGAGATTGACACAGACACTGAGCAGGGCCCTTGGCCCTGACATCTAGAGTGTTTCAGGCACAGGTTTTTGAGGTGGATCTTTTTTTTTTTTTTTTTTTTT